CTTTCCTGGAGGTTTGAATTCTTTGGACTTGTCATAATTCATTCAAAATAAGTATATTTAATTGTTCTTCCCACCTTTCCCTGTGTATTTTTGTTATTTTTCAATGGTTGTTAAGTTTGGATATGGTATTCTGTAGCTTTAAATACAGGGAAAGAAACTCAGCTGCATGTAATCTGTTGCTTTGACATTGTTTGTTCTTAAGAGTTGTGACAAATATAGACTGTAGGAGAGGTAATTCCGACTTGCAAGAGATATGGAGCTGTGCCTAATTGGAATATTTTGATCAGGACCTCGCTTATACATGTGTATTCGTTGTATGTTAATAGTGAGTATGACCAGCATTTGTTATGATTCATATGGCATTTTATTGTAGGTGAGAATGTTTCTTGGTATTGTTTATATATGGTTTTTTACAGAAGATTTACCTGATGAAGGAATAGATCTGAAATGCTGATTATATTATCTGGAACAGCGTAGTCTCCACTTAAAACGGATCTTACTTACTACAAGCCACAATATATAGATGTTTGGACTTCAGTTCAAGGACATGTGATATTTATATAAACTTTTTTTTCCTTGGTGTGCTTGTTCTATTTATGAAGGAAGTCTGCTGCTTCTGAGATCTGCTGTGCTTATTGTGGGTTTAAGTTTGTTACCACCCACTTTTGGATAATTGTTCTTTATTATGATTGTGATTCTACAAATACATCTATATATGAGAGTTTGGCATTATTATTGACTTTGCTTTCTAGATAATTGTTGTTGCATTTATTTAGCGTGCTTTGACTACAGATTTGTTTGTGATTTCATTAGCCATTTTGTGGTGGAACCACTCCCCATTCTCAAAACTCCAAAAATGCCCACTGGTTTAATAGAATTGGGGGCCGCTGATCTAGGGAACCCTTGAAGGCAATTGAAACACTTTCAGGAACATACCTGGAATGCTGGTAAAAAAAGTATCTTTTAAATAGTATGAGGGCTGGTATCCTACCTTTTGTTGTTTCCCTTCAACAAGCTGTGATTAAGGATTGAACTAACCCACTAAATAGCTAATATCTTACCTTGCAGCTGTCTCAGCTTCTCCTGTTAACCGTATGACAACTTTCCCCAAAGGTAATCGGTACTAATCCATTTTACCTGTTTGATTTTTTTAAATTGCCAGCTGATGTTTGAGCACTGTGTTATCTTTAGTGTGGAATTAAGGTGCCATTAGAAGTTTGATGGTCCAAATATGTTGAATAGCTTCGAGCATCAGGACCATCAGTTTGCACAATACCTTATTCTCTATCCTCAGATATGAAGAAGCATTATGAACTGAGGAAACAGTTACAGCCAGCAGTAGCTTCTGCAATCAGTGGCCATGGTTGGGATTGCGGGTTTCTCATATTGTAGGCGGGTATCCAGAAAAAATCATACTGATAATTTGAAAACATATAATGTGAAGTGATCCTTATTTTTAAACACATAAAGGTCTTATTTGAAAACAGAGCATCAGTATTTCTGCATCCCTTTTTAAAGGCCAGGGTATCTATATTTTTCTTTTTCGGACTTGTGTTCACTATATCATGGATTTTGTATTTTAATCTTTTGATGCCTCTTAATTTATTGTGTTCATATCACTACTGCCATGCTGACTTATGGTGTATTTTTAAATCACTTCACCAGTACTTCTAAGAACTAGAATTGCAGTTTTAAGATAGTCATAATTGTTATCTCACTGCATTTGGAACCCAGTGGGGATATTTGCTCTTGCAACTACTCCAAGGAAACTGTTTTCAAAATTCCTCTCTTTGATGGCTGGGAGCTTTAGGCTCGGTTTGCACATACATTGGAATGAGGTGGTAGAATGGCCTGTACTTCTTCAGGTTACTGGTGGCAGGGGTTATAAGGCTCCCCCACATAAAAAAAACTCTCAAGTAAAACAAAAATCTAGGATGTCAGACCTAACACATTAATCTGATTCATAGTTTTCACATTCAAAAATGTGACCCTTCTCTTGAAGTCTGAAGTTTATTCTTCTACCTCAGGACTCTGCCTTTCTTCTCTGTCTATGAGGATGCTCTGCATTCTACTGCATGTGCAGGCCAAGCCTTATTCTCATTTCCATCTCAAATCCATTAATAGCTAGCTTTTAGGAAGATCTAAGACAAGTTCGGTATTCTGTGTTAATTAGAGAAGCCCAGACCTTCTGTCTCTCTCTTTGCTGATAGCACGGCCAGACCGTCCTCGTGACCTTGAGCTAACAGACCTTGCTGAAAGGAGTGTACGTTTGACATGGATACCCGGTGATGACAACAACAGCCCCATCACAGGTCAGGGCATGCTCCTCTGCCTTAAAATCCTGAGGATTATTACTAATTCTAATCTTCTAAATCTACTAGACAGTGTCTGAGAAGCTATGTCTCACTAGCCTTCCCTAATTCTGTCTTCTAGATTACATTGTAGAATTTGAAGAGGATAAATTCCAACCAGGAGTTTGGCACAACCATTCCCGTTATCCAGGAAGTGTGAACTCTGCTGTCCTGCGCCTTGCACCCTATGTCAACTACCAGTTTCGAGTAATAGCTGTGAATGAAGTAGGAAGCAGTTATCCCAGCTTGCCTTCTGAGCGATACCAAACAAATGGAGCACGTAAGTGGTGTCCAGGATGCATTGGGAGCAAAAAGATCTTCTTTATGGTCTCTGTACAGGCACACATGGCTTCTGCAGGCATGCAGAGCAACATTCAGAATCTTCTGGACCTAAAGGTATAAAGCTTGGTGCATGAGGGGATGGTATTAACCCATCAGTGGAATACTACACAGTGTGTGTGTCCTAGACATGATGCAGCAAGTGCCCTCCTGTTCAATTTCCTGACAACTTCTGCTGGCATTCTTTCCCTGTGAGGCTTGACTCTCCAGCAAACTGTTTTCTTCCTTTTTTAAAAATAAAATAAAATGTCAGTATCTTGCTGCCCTTTATGTTCTTTCTCTCTCTCTTTTTGCATTTATTCACTAGCCCAGAAACCCTAACTCCTTTTATAAAAGGATACGTAGGGGAGTCACAGGGGAGAGGAAATCCCATCCCCCCCTGCTTGCCTCCCTCAGTTTCCACTTCTCCCAACATTACCTCTGCTTGCTTCCTGACCTCCTATTTGCTCTGGCTCTTGTCTCTTTACCTTCGCTTACTCCCCCTTGTTTTCCTTCTCTCCCACTGCCTTTCTTTCTGCTTCCTTCCCTCTATCCCTCCCTCCCTCCCTCCTGCATTCCTACCTGTCTTTGTTGCACCAGCCTCACTTTCCTTCATGTTCCTTGTCCACATTTGGGGTTTCCTTTATTATATAAAAACCTGTACACAAATATATAACACATGGAATTCACTGCCACAGGAGGTGGTGGCGGCTACAAGCATGGACAGCTTCAAGAGGGAATTAGATAAGCATATGGAGCAGAGATCCATCAGTGGCTATTAGCCACAAGGTATAGATAGGAACTCTCAGTCTGGGGCAAATGATGCACTGTATTCTTGGTGCCTGGGGGGGGGTCAACAGTGGGAGGGCCTCTAGTGTCCTGGCCCCACTGGTGGACCTCATGATGGCACCTGGTATTATTTGGCCACTGTGTGACAGAGTGTTGGACTGGATGGGCCACTGGCCTGATCCAACATTGGCTTCTCTTATGTTCTTATATGGTGCATACTTGCTCTGTGCCCTTTGTATGGGAGACACTACTAGCAACTGTCCACGTGAACACATGAAGCTGCCCTAGACTAAATCAGGCCCTTGGTCCATCAAGGCAAGCCTTGTCTAAGACTGGCAGCAGCTCTTCAAAGTTTCAGGATGAGGTCTTTCACATCACCTACTGCCAGATCCTCTTGGTTGGGAATGTCAGGGATTGAGCCTAGGACCTTCTGCGTGCCCAGCAAAAGCTCTTCCACTGAGCCATGACCCCTCCCACTGTTGAGGAGGGACGGGGTTGTTAAGCCAATACAGAGGACCAAACAAAAATATACTATTTTTGAAGAGCTGGGACCCAGCTCCCTGAACCCAACTTGTGTCTCCCACAGCCACACAGCAGCTGCGGGTAACAGCATCTAAAAAAGAGAGAGAGAGAGAGACCCCCAAACAGACTTGGAATGGTGCCACAGGGGGAGGAAGGGATCCTGCCTCCCCCCCCCCAAGCCATTTTCCTGCACAAAAAACTCTGCTGTGGGGAATTTATTTCACTGATTTTGCTGCTCCGTGTGGCGTATCTGTGCACATGGACCACCAAATAGGGGAAGTAACTCCCCACAGCATGGTTTTCATGCAGAAAAATGGCTTCAGAGAAGCGGATTCCTTTCCTCCCCCCCCCCCCATTCTGAGCCCATTTGTGCTCTCCTTGTGTGGGTGTGTTGTTTCTCAGCAGCTGCTGCACTGTAGGCTGAGGGAAGATACTGATTGCCCACAGCACTTCCCATTTCTGGCTCCTTACACCAGTGTACCTACAGATACACTCATGTATCTGAGTGACACCGATGTAGGGCTTAGTTGTTATCCTAAGCAGTTTATTAATAGGCATTTGGACTGCACTGATTGGTTGCCTTGGGATCTTAAAATGTATTGTTATAATTAACTGTTCTACGTCTCTTGAGCATTATCATTTGCAAATGACTTGTGGTTTGATGCCAGTGTGAATGTTTATGTTTGTAATTATTTTTATAACAAAATCACAGTGCATCTTCAGAATAAATAGAAATCTAGGTTGCAACTTCACAAGAATCAATATTTCCATTTTCATTTATTAATGATGCCCATTAGTACAATTCCATCAAAAGCCACAAAGTTGAAGTTCAGGGTGTATGTAAAGAGTTCAAAGAACAGAATGCAGAAGCAATGTTAGCTCTGAACACCCTGTTTTGTAAATCAAAGAAATGTCAGGCTCTATTCATATAAAAAGCCAAACCACAACTGTGGGTCCCAGTTGCAGCACTGCGGGGAGAGGGTGAGGGCAGCTGTGACAGCTCTTGCTGAGTCAGAGGGGGCGGGTCAGTGCGAACATGGGGAGCTTGGGCCCAGCCGACCCACCACTGGGGCCTATCAGGGAACCTGGGGGTGGCTGATGGGGTGGGTACATCCAGGCTGCTGTTTAGGTTGCCACACTATCCCGGCTTGCCTTCTTTTCAGCCCAGGCTTTTTGACCCACCCTCCTGCTCCTTGTTGGAAGTAGTTTGTGGGTGGGGGTTCACATGCAGGTTTTGTTTCATTTACTCTCTTCCTTGTTGCGACTTAGCAGTATCAGCATGGGGACCGGATCCATTCTCAGGAAAGCCAACCTGCGTGCCCATTTTCCTGAGTATGGGGATCCCCTTAAGGGAGCTTAGCATGAGGGTCAAGAGGAACGCCCAGCCTGTGGGCACTGCTGGGGATTGTTCAGGTGGCAGGAGAGACCACTCAGGGGTGGCTGCCCTTGTGGGATCCAGCAACCTGTCATCCCAGGGTTTCCCACAACCCCAGCCAGCGGGCTGGGGCAGGCAGGGGATAATCGGCTGGCAGGCAGGTCAGTCATTGAGCAGGATCCGGTACCCCATGCTGTGCCAAAGCTTATTACAGCTGAAGCAATAAAGCTGTGGCCAATGTTATTCAAAAACTTTGTGTGTGTGTCTGTGTGTGTGTCTGTATTATTTCACACCTGGGTTGTAAGCGGGGTTTATTGGTAAGGGACTAAGGGAACACCTCACCTTTGGCGCCCCCCTCACCCCTCCCCTTGGTGCTGGGGCCACAAACCAGGACTTCTGATTTCTACTTTGGAGAACTAAAGCAAACCACAGCTTACCAGTATGGATATGATGGCAAATAATGAGTATAGGAAGAATGGGATAAGGAGGAAGTGTGAGAACCAAGGCTCATTCACAAAATGCCAAATGATGTTTTTGCTTTATGTCTAAACTAGCACAGACAGGATTTCTTGAGAGCATGATTTGACAGTGGTTTTGGAGTCTGAGGCTTAGGAACAGTAAACTGGTGTCTGGGGGGAGGGGTACAGATGATACAGAAGCAATATTCTCCCTTTCCCAAATTATTAATGTGATGAAGTATCATTTCACTTTTCAGTAGATGAGGTTATTCTTCTCCAAAACCTCAAAGGCAACATGTGTCAGCTACAGGAAGAAAGCTCTTGCACATTTCAAGTGACCTGATTTCTTTCTTTACACTGAAGATTCAACATTCCTTTCATCCTGAATCTTTAATGTTGCTGCTGCTGCTGCTCTTTTGTAGCTACAGAAACATTGTAAAATCTATCTTATAAATGTTTTAATTTGGTTTATTCATGTTCCATCTTGCATTATGGTTAGACTTATCTGCTTAACATCTGGATTTTATTGCTGTGAGTGCCATAGTTAGTGAAAAGGTTTACTTTTCAAATTGCCCTTCGCAGTATAAAAGATGCTGTTATTATCTTTCTTTCTGTAGAAGCCACATGGAGGGCCATTTTTACTGGCCTCTGAACAATTCTGCCATTTGATTTGGGGTCATTGCTTTCATCACGTATGCAGAATCTGCAGTCCTCCAGAAGGATTCCAGAAGATTCTGCTTTAGATTTCCTTTCTGTAGTAAAGGAGACATAGCCTTTTAGTGATGTACTTTTTGTGATCTAAAACAAAATTTGTGTTCATTTATTTCAGGTCCAGAAATTAATCCCACTGGTGTTCAAGGGGCAGGATCTTCAAAAAATAATATGGTTATATCATGGACGGTGAGCCAACATTGTAGTGTCTCCTCAATTACGATGCATACTTTTCTGTCATAATTGTAGCAAGAGCAACAAAGGGTCTCTCATGGGACACAAAACAAATATATATATTGTGGCCTATGCTGTAAGGGAGTGAAGTCTACTTTATCTGATGTATGAAGAGTTATTCTATATGTATGGGGGGAGGTGTTCCAAAACAAACCAAATTGTCATGAAATGCAAACCACTGCAGTAAATCTATGCAACTGATCAGGTCGCTCTCATCTTTTGCTCTGCCTAGATATGTGACTGATCTATCACTGACTTACACTTCTGACCTTTTCAGGCACACTCTACTTAAACTTTTTTCTCTATAGTACGTGTATCTCTAAAGTGAGGACAGTAGTTCAGGCATCTGACAGATCTATTGCTAACAGTTAATCCAAAGGAGCATTAGCATAAAGATTTTTTTTAGGACCAATGAAAATGTCATGAAATGCTTTTGAGTTTCCCAGTACTTTTCTTCTGATGAGTACAAAAAACAAAAGGGAAAGGGAAGTGGAAGCAAGTGATGGCTTAAAATGTGGTAGAAAAACCCCAAGTCTGCAGTTCATAATAGTGTTTCAGTGGAATAACAGAAGGCTAAATGGTGCTGGCACCTTTAATTTACTTAGTACTGTAATTCTTCTTGTGCTCTTTTGTAAAACTACTACCTACTGCAGACTTTGGGCTTTCCATCATGTCCTAAAACATTATTCTCCCCTCCCTGTACCACTGTTTTGCTTTTTGTATTGAAGAAGAGTTCTGGGAAACTTGAAAGCTTGCTTATCCCTCTTTTCAGTATTCATGTAAGTATATATAGCAGTCATATGAAGATAATGTTTTATGAGTCTTCCAAAGTTTGCTCTGTTCTAGAAAAGCTTATTCCACAATATGCTTATTTATCTCTGAGATGCTGCAGGGCTCTTGGTTGTTTCTCTGTTCATGAATGTGTGGGAGTGCTAGGGTGAAACTGAACATGACACCAGAAGAACTGCAATGAGGCCTTCCCAGCATTTTAAGGCTAAATTGCAGCCCCACGTGGCCCCAATTTGGATGGGGGGGGCCTTTAATCGTTCCACCCCTGCATGTTTTATGCCTTGTGATACAGCCTGACATACACTACTGTTGGCCATGGAAAGGGAGAAAGAAGATTGTGATGGTCAACTTGGGGTTGTGCATTTTTGCCAGTCAAGATGAATAGTGAGAGGATCGGATTACAGATCTTGCAATTTCTTGCCTTGTTTTAAACTGTAGAGGGGAGACAGGGGATGTATAGCTGCTGTACTACAAACTTGACAAAGGTAACTATTTTCTGTTCTTCATTTTCTTTTTAAAAATCCATTAAGCCACTAAATGCAACTCAAGCTTATGGCCCCAAACTCAAATATATTGTGAAATGGAGGAGAAAGGACACACGAGAGAGCTGGAGCAACGTAACTGTCAACGGTGATGTCAACAAGTACACTGTTACCCAGACACCTACCTACGTGCCCTACGAGATCAAAGTGCAGGCAGAAAATGAGTTTGGACGGGCTGCAGAACCTGATGTTGTCATTGGCTACTCAGGGGAAGATTGTGAGTATTCTCTTAGCCAGAGAGACTTGGGTATACAGAAGGTTCTGGTTCACTTCTTCACACTTGCCAGTGTAAAGGGGGTTCCTTGCAGTTCAAGTTCTATCATGACCAGCTCATTTTTCAGCATAGCACTGAATTCCAGTGTCACTCTTCTTCTGTAGTAATTACTACTACAAATGTAAATGTCTCTCATGTTCCTATACCACTGGGGCAGTAAGTTGAGATTAGATAAAAAATACATTTTGAAGAATAATATAAATGTTAAGACTAGGCAAAACCATCCTGTCACCTTGTGGATGTAGCACTGAACCTTAGAGACATCTAATATTGGCCATGGTCTTCGTTTTCACTGTCTGTGTAACTTAAGCAGGTAAGTGGGTACTTGTAAAATCAGTATCAGTACATTTATTCATTTATTTATACTTTCCATTTGTACCCCGCTCACCCCCGAAGGGCTCTGAGCGGCTTACACGGTGCATGGTGCAGAGACCTTTGCAGAAACCCTAACTATGGCCACAGTACGTCTGGGGTGGGGGAAGCCCTACCAGGTACCCTCCTGGCTCCGATCGTTCGTTTATCCGGCGAGTGGACGACTCCTTCCAGTTTTTCTCTGGTGTGTCTTCCGCGGCCTCCGCTGTTCTTTCGGCTCTCTGGCGACTCCTATCGGGGGCTGTTGGTTATGGGCCCTGGTGCACAGCCGCGGTGGGCGTCACAACATCCTTGCGGCTCCTGCTGGCCACGTCATCAGCTGCCGAACCAACCGCCCCCTTGGGATGTCGCTGCCTCTCTTCATTTCCTCTGTGCTGACCAACGCCATGTCGCCGCTGCTTCTCGATTCCTCGCTCGGATGGAGCCCAATTTCGAGGGACGGGTACCTCCCTGTCCTCCTACGGACAGGTACCCATTTATCTAATTGCCCCAAGGGGCTTTCGGACTGCTGGGTTGGCAGGATAAATTAATGGATACATGGATAAATTAATGGACAAATGCTATGAATCTCACTGGGGTTGCCTTGGATTTTTTTCTCAGCCCAGCTCACCGCACAGGGTTGTTGTAAGGATAAAATGGAAAGACCTTGAGCCCCTTGGAGGAAGGGTGGAACACCAATGCAATAAACCCAGTATCTTTAAGCCACAGCCTTTGAGAATCCAAAATGTTTGGAACATTTTTCTTTACCATCTAACTTTTAGCACAAGCTTAGTTGCCAAATTAATTAATCTAGTTTTCTGCCTGTCATTCTGAGTGACAGCATTAAGAGGGTTTTTGTTTTCATTCCAGGCTGCCACAAGCTCCCAAACAAAGATTCCCTCTGCCCCCTTCACACCAGCCAGGCCCAACCCCCGAATCACATGAAAACAAATTACATGATTGGTCCAGCTGCACGGGTCCCCAGATTGACCAGTGATCCACAGCCTACCTGTTGATAAATGGCTCTGCAGGACCAAGACTGCATAATTTTTTTAATAATTTGGCACTAAACATTTATACTCTTTCTGGAATGCAAATACACATGCCACTTCCCCATAGATAGTGTATGTGGGTTAGTGTGTAACTTCTGCCTGTTGCTCTTAGTCTTTTGGTTATCATTAGCTTGCAAATTAAAGCACTTCTAAGTCCCACTGATTTCAATGAGAGAAGTAAGCATGTGCTTAAATCTTTTCTTAGAAATCAATGGAACATAACAGCAATTTGCTTGTCTGAATTATGAATAGCAAAAGGGCATTAATCTTCCTTGGCCTGTATTCATATTCACTTTATCCACTGGTGTGAGATTTTTAAGGCATTCATTATTTTGCTGCATTCTCAAGAAAAATATTGGTGATACATAGTTAATCCAGATGATTCTGTGATGATGAGCGTGGCCTTTGCAGCTATGCCAGTGAGGAAGAATGGTGACAATAGTCTGATATATATTGTCAGACCTTGGGGCTGTAAGGAAAGAGAATTGTGACAGTACAGCCCAGTTCTCCAGCCCCTGGGGTAGTAGATTCCTCCCACCACCAGACTAAGGACACAATAGGTAGATTGGCCATTGAGTGACAGATGAGATAAAGGATCATGAATGCTTCTGAAAGATGTTTGTGCATTTTTGAGATTCAAATGAAGCCCACAGTAGACAGGTACTCCACTGGAGAGCTCACTTATAAAGGAGACATTGAAAATGTTACTTTGTCCTTCAGTGGAACCTGGTACATGAATGATTTTTTTCCTATGATATTCTTCGGGGAATTGAGAATTGCTGCAAGACGTAAGAAGCAAAAGGTTTCTTAAACATAATCACTCTGGCTCTTAAAGGACTCTTATGTCAAAAGCAATTCCTTGGGTGGTGTTCAGAAGGTTCTAGGAAGCCAGTATAGACACTGGAATTTTGGTTCCAAATACATTTTTATTCTGTTTTAATTAGTTACTCTTCATTTTCTTTTTTGTTTTGCATATGTCAGACAAATATTAGCATCATAAGTAACTTAAAACAAAGAGATGAAAGGGGGGATGGGAGGAGAAACTGAGAGAGCAATATTGAGTGAAGGGGAATAAAATAAATAATTTCCATCCTTTTCAACATGACGAGGAATACTGGCTAGGAAGAACTGTGGTAGAACAGCTGTTTTCATGTTTCACATATTGGCTTGCAGAGACCTTGCAAATAATACCAAATGTAGGCAAATATGAATATTCTCATTCCTGGACCACAAGAAGCATAGTCAAAATCTTTTCAAGCTTTGTCTGCAAGGATCTGAGCATTTTTTCCCCTGGTAAACGGAAGTTCCAACTTCAGGCATTAAAAAATCAGTTTCAGACTTTGCTTTCCTAGCTAGTACTCACATCTGCATCATGATAGCAATGAATGAATCAATCAATCCTGTATTTATTTTAAAAGTAAGAATGGAGAACAGACAACCTAATACTGTTGTTATGAAAGTACTTTTCTTTGCGAATGTCTACCCTGGCAGTCAGAAAAATGGGGCAGAGTGTACGGTCAGTTGGAAGTCAGACCCTTCTGAAGCCTCTGTCCTGTATACCAACAGTGCTTGGAAAAGAGATGCCACCTGAATCTCGGTGAAATTTTGTAGTTTTTCAGTGGCTAGTTAGTTTGAATGAATGAACAGCAAACTTTTGTCAACTTAGGCTGAAGAACACCTTTTGTAGAATGCAATGCAGCATCATTTCTTCTGTTTTTTAAAATAAAAATGTTTTAAACTTGCTCACTGTGAACTGTGGTTCACACAATGATCCAGATATTGTGTCCAGTCCCTACACTTTGCAGATTTTATTTATTTTTTAATTCTTTGGCTTCTTTGCCCTTTGCTGTTCTCACCCTTCACCCCCCCCCCCTTGAGTCCTGGATGCAGAGAATGTAACTGCAAAGAAATTTCTCAATCTTCCCTTCGGTATCTGCATCACATGGGGCTCGATCACAGGAAATTCTTTGCGCCCATTGCTGTTGCCAAGTCCACTGTCCCAAGCACTGTAGCTCATCCCCTGGGAAACTGCACATACATTAACCAGTTTTTCCTGACCACCCAGCTATGCATGTCGTTCCACATACTCCCATCAGGTCCCAAGAACAGTCACTCTGTTTGTGAGCAGCTAGATCGTGGTAGCTTCTTGCTGTTGCTGGTTTAAAGGGGGATATATTTAGAACACCACCCCCCCCAAAAAAAAAAGAATAACCGGAAGTAACGAACATGGAGGAAGTTACACAGGCATCTTGAACATTACATAACTAGTTTGGATGTACTAGCTAGATAAATGAAATTAATAAACCAGATAGAGAACTTTATTCAAGAAATCCTTGCAATAGTACAAGGTACGTATATCAAAATGCAATGACTCTTTCCAGTAATTTGCAATAGTCAAAGGCAGACATCAAGACAATGGCTTGGATCACAAGCTGCAGAGTGGATCTTCCTTGAATCCCTTTTCCCCTGCATTCCTCTGAAACCTTCAGAAAGCTGATGCTGGGGTTCGTGGTAGCCTCATGGACAAAATACATAGTGATGGGACTGAAATCACCTCTCTTGGCTCTTCCACTAGGGAGTGTTTTCTGGTACAAGAGCAGTCTAGAACTGACTTTGTTGCTCATGGCCTGGACACTCATCCTGTTGACATCTCTGATAAACAAATTTTGCAGAAGACCAGAGGCAACAAGTGCCAAAAGAAATTAGGGTGTATATCATAGACAATGATGCCTGTGTTGCACTACTCTCTCCAGATTTGTATCTGACTCTAGCCTAAGTCACATTGCAAAATGAAGAAATGTAATCCATAGTGTCATTTTTGCCTTACCATTAAGACACTGGGATGCTTGATCATTCCTTGCTGTAGCAGCAGAATATAAGAATCCAGTGGCACCTTAAAATGCTTTGAGGGCCACTTTTCCTGTTACATGTCAATGAAAGCTATTTCCCTGTGGCAAAAGTAACAAAATTGTACAGCTCTTATTCCCATTTGTATTCTAAGCTAAAAGTTACTGTGTGAATAAAAGTGTTGCTTCATACTGCAGGGAAAATGCTATTTCACTCTGTGTTAATAGTTTTAATTATTAATAGCATATCACCAGGAGACAATTCAACTAAATTTCTGCTGCTCAGGTCTGTAGTGAATTTTGAAAAGAGCGGATGTTTCTTATTCAGGATGCTCTGGTCCTGTTAGTGAGGACTTTGAATTGTAAAATGCTTACATAATATGGAAATGGCAGGAATGTGTTGGGGATGAAACATAGCTGAGTTTTGAGCATTTTTCTTTCTTTTTTAGACTGCTAGTCTTACCTGTCTGATAATGCCTGTTGGGTTAACTGTGAAAATCTGTTGAGGACATTGTACCTGTAATTCAGAGCAGGATGGGGGGGAAGAGAAAGACAAGGATGACAGTAGGGTAGGGTTGATGTCATGCAATAATTGTGTAGGTGATACTTCTTCTTTCCACAAGATGGCAGCAGATGCACTTTTGTATGTTTCCTAAGATGCCGGGACAACATTTAGGAGCAAGTTCCTTTTGTGCTTTAGGCCAAACCCTATGGTATCTTCAAGATGGAATGGAATCTTTCTTCAAATATATGTGTTTTATTAATCTCTTGTTTTCCTTTATTCTTGACCACTTAGATCCCAAGGCTCCTCCCACTGATATTAGACTCAGAGTTTTAAACAGTACGGCAATCAGCCTACAGTGGACTAGAGTGTACCCGGATACCATCCAGGGACAGCTTAAGGAGTACAGAGTGAGCACAGCCGAAATTAGATCATTTTGATTATTAATATGGCTAACCCTGACACTAATGATAACTAGTCACATGGCCTTTATACAATGGGGATGACATGAAAGATCCAGAAACTGCTAAATGATACTGAAGACACATATTATACAGGCAGATATCTACAGCTGTAGAAAAGCCTCCATAAATAGCTGAACCTGGTATTTTTAAGAACCAGATAAAACAAAGTTTCTTACGGACAGGGCATATTTTTCTCCTACTGGAGTCCAAAGGAGGCCAGTCCCTGCCATAGACAATTTTAAACTATTGTGCCACTTGTAGCTTCCTCATGTGTGTAAGTTCTCTGATTGTGTTGAGGTTTTGGAGGAAAAGCCATGACAGGCAAACCAGCTTTAAAAGTGATTCTGTTTTTCACTACAGGGGCCAATCTTGATCAGCTATAGCATTTTCACTCCAACATTTCTAATGAAACATGGTTTGGTCTCATATTTTGTCTCCTAAATAAGCTTTTGAATGATTATTGATTTCTCACTGATTCAAAATGATGAGCTTTTATTCATTCTGGAATAGATAGTACAAAGTAGTCTTTGTTTCAAAAAGTATAATACTCATCTCTCTATGTTAATTACAATTTAGATTTTTATAGGGTTGAGGTTTTCCTCCCACCTTTAAAAAGATGCTTCCCCTTAGAAAAAGAATCCCTTTACCATTCTGAGCAATCATATCAAAATACATGTAACATTGGTGAGTTGTGACTTCATCTAGTCAGTGATAAGTCACCAAGGGCAATTCTGAGTAGTTGCTGACTTATAAAGCCCCTCTTCACACAATATTAAGCTGGTTTCCTTCATCACAAATTTTCACTATGGATAAGAAAAGTAACTTCAGACACTTTTCCTGACTACTGTGTCATTCCTAGTGTATATTTGTCGTGTTTTATTAATGTGTGTGCCAGTGCTCTGTTTTGGCCTTGTTTCATTTAAAAACTGTGCTGATAACTAAAGATAGCTTAAAAACAACAGCAAAAGAACCCTAAATATTCTCTGTGTTTGAGATCATGCTCTCTCTCTCTCTCCCATCCATTTCCAAAAATGTTGCCCGGGTAGATACCAAACCAAGTCTACAGAAGGGGAAAATGGGGGTTACAAAGGGGAAAAAATAGCAGCAAATAGTTCAAGAATGTCAGCACTTCAGCAGAAATGTATTCTACCCCTCCCATTTGTCAAGTGTTCACATTTCTCAGATTTGAGAGCTTTGTTTTATAGGATATGAAGCTCTTCACCCACAGTTTTTCTGTTCTTAAATACCAATTGAGTTGTACCTCTAGAATGAAGAGTCTGTTAATGGTCATGGAAATGGGGAAGTACAGTGTGAAGCCTGAGAGCCTGGTCCCTTCTTGGCCTGTTTGGTTTTGGCCAGCTCATTAATCACCTGCATTCCCTCAGTTTTCCCATCTGTAAAATAATAAACAATACTGACTTCCACCTCACTTCATGGAATGATTGGCAAGTGTGAACTAACCTTCCTTGTGTAAAAGAAGCAAGTGACTGGAATGAATTTGTTCTTGAAATCAAGTAACACCCAAACAAGAAAAAGTTTCACTTGCCTTACATGTTTCTTGAAGGCCTATTTCTGGAGAGAGAGTAGTTTGCTGAAGAATCTGTGGGTCTCCAAGAAAAGGCAGTCTGAGAGTTTTATTGGAGACCGAACACGGGGCATAGTGTCCCGGCTGTTTCCTTACAGCAACTACAAACTGGAGATGGTTGTAGTCAACGGGAGAGGAGATGGGCCTCGGAGTGAAATTAAGGAGTTCACAACACCTGAAGGAGGTAGGTTCCTGCATAACTTTTTGCAGGTTCTGCACAATTTACATAGTGTGTGAAACATGAAGGTGTACTAGAGCTCTGTGAGTCTTAGAGTCAGTCCTAACATTTCCTGGGCTCTGAGGAGTGGGCCACTAATAATGATAAAGACCTCTTTAAAATCTCCAGCATTTGGCATAGGCTTAGGTTTGCTAGTTTCCCAATGCACAAGAAATGCCTAGTTTGTCTTCTGCCGCCAACTGTTCTGTGTCCTTCTGTGTTATGGAAGAGCATAAAGAGTGGATTAAGCAAAGAGGATATAGTATAAGACTTCATAGATCAGCCTACACAGACATACCACTGGGATTCATAAAGGATAACGGATTGTAATAGGTGAATGAATTCAGAAAAAATGGAAATAATTGAAAATGCACTAGGAAAGGCAGAATGACCCTTTGGTAGCAGATTTTTATTTATGGATAGCTATTGCTGGTCGTAGTCCAACTTGGTCTTAACATGTTCAACGATGAACTCTGGATTTTATTGTAGAATTATTATTTATTGTTATTTATGGAATTTCTGAATCACCCCATCCCGGAGTAAACAGGGCTCTGGGCGATTTACTACAACAGATTAAAACATACAAAAATACAAATTAAAACCAACAAATCAATTAGTCTGAATTTCACAATCTCCAGATGGTGTCTAGAATTTAATCTGAAATTTGCCCTGGACTGTTCTTCCATCTCATGGGCAGGTTAAGAAGGAGGCCAAAGGGGGCAAGGTGGAAGAAAAGAGTAGGGTGCTAGCTATGATGGAAAACCGTTGCTGTCCTCAACCAACAGCCTGGTGGAACATCTCTGCCTTACAGGCCCTGTGGAATTGCATTAAATCCTGCAGGACCGTGATGGAAGTTGGCAGAGAGTTCCACCAGGTCAGAGTCAAGGCTGAGAAAGCCTTGACTCTGGTCAAAGACAGCTGAATATCTTTGGGGCCAAGGATCACCAGCAGATTGCTCTCAGCAAAGTGAAATGCTCTCCTGGGGACATACCAGAGAAGATGGTCCTGAAGATACACTGGTCCCAGATCGTCAAGGCCTTAAAGGTCAGTACCAACACCTTGAATCTGACTCGGTACTCCACTGGAAGCCAGTGGCTAGGTCAGGGCGTGACAGGAAAGGGGCTGGTTGCTGCACTTCGCGTAGATGGAAAAATGCCAGTCTGGTAATATTTGTGACATGGGCCTCCATAGTTAAGGAGGCATCCAGGACCACGCCCAAACTCCTGATGGATTGTGCCAGTGTTAGTGGCACCCTGTCAAGGTTGGGAAGTCTATGCCGCAGACCTGACGCATGCCCCCCCAGCCACAGAACCTCTGTCTTCATCAGATACAGCCTCAGCCTACTCTTTTTTAACCATCCCACCACATCAAGTAGAGACTACCACCAAATGAGAAGGGAGCACTCACTGGAGAAGACCCTGTTGCTGGGAAAGATTGAAGTTCAAAGAAGACGGGGACAGCAAAGGATGAGATGGTTAGACAGTGTCATAGATGCAACGAACATGAAACTGAGCAAACCTCAGAGGACGGCGGAAGACAGGAAGGCCTGGCGTGATCTGGTCCATGGGGTCACAAAGAATCGGACTCAACTGTGTGACTGAACAACAACAAAACCACTTCCGTTTGCTTTCATAGCTGGATCAATAGCTTTTCATCATTTCTCATAACCGGCAATGAAACTTCTTTAGTGTTTATAGTTGCTGTATCATTCTAATGGATTGTACTAAGCTGATGAACAACAGCATTTATAATGATTATAGGGAATCGAGAAATGACAGAATTGCACAATGGACATAGTTTTAATACAAGAACCATCTTGCCAGGAATTTCCACTGGCTTTTATCTTCCAAAAAGTGAAATCCTATTTTGGCTCCATCTTCTTTTTACAACTAAAAGGCTTTTAAAAGAACACATTTTTAAAAATACTAATAATGGCATGTAGAGCTTTGGTTTTAAGAACATAAGAGAAGCCAATGTTGGATCAGGCCAATGGCCCACCCAGTCCAACAATCTAACACACAGTAGCAAAACGGGGTGGGGTGGGACTGAAATATTAAATCCCCTCTCCCCCTTGCATGGTCCTGATCTTAGTTGCAGCTTCATGAACTATTTATCTTAAACAGATTGATAGACGTATCTGTTCATGCCCTAAACCGAATTGTCTGACTTTTCCATAGCCACTGAGTCAATTCCTACATCACTCCTGTTTGACAGGAGCTTAACCGAAGGCCCTTTTCACATTACCATACTAAACCGAATCTTATTAATTGTTGGCCTGTTTTCGAGTACAGTGATACAGGGATGGGGGTTTCATACAGCAAATTTGTTTCCATTAACAAGCCATCTCTGAAGCGCTTATGGTCATTTCGGACAGTGCCACTTTTTTCTCCTGCCCTTTTTCACTGCGCAATCTTCCTCTGACTTTTTAAAACGTTCTAAGCTGACCGCTATAGTCAATAAAGTCAATGCATTTCAGTGGTGCCGCCATAGCACTGAAGTGCTGTATTGGTTTAGCTCTATAGTACTCACCTTAGAATGTTAAAAAAAAGTCTGAGGAAGATCACACGGCAAAAAAAGGGCAGGGGGAAAGCAGCACACCACAGCAATTCAGAAGCCCAACAAAGGGCTTGAAAATGGAAAAAAGCAATTTCCCTCAAAAGCAGCTCAACCATGCCTTGCCAACCCAACGCAAGCAGGTTTATATGAACATTCCGCTAGCAGCTGGTTACTAAAACGGGTCTATCTGAAATAACAGAAAAAAATCCATTAGCAAGCAGTTTTAAAAGGGTCAGAGTCTACTGTTGCTGTTCTTTTTTACTGCATCCTAGTCCTATGCTCAGAAGTATACTTGTGGGTTCTGTCAGTTTCATCATGAAAGTGGCCAGCAACAGCTTTTCAAAGGATTTTAAACTATGTTTCTCTGCTTCATGGTACAAGTATAAAGAACCAGTCACCGCTGTGAATCCCAGGGCAGCGACACAACCAGCGCACCAGTTTGTTTCCTCACTGCGTCGCTTAGGAAAATGTCGCAGGATGAGTACAGTGTCCTGTGTACCACTTGCAGATACATAAAATCACCCAGATTCTGGGAAAGCTCTTTTTATACTTTGGAGGACTTTATCAGTAATGTAAGGACCTGCAGTTTGTACTTTTGACAAAACACGCTTGTGGCTCCTTTCACTGGATGCCTGAAATATGGATATGAGTGCTGATAGGGGGAAAGCTATCTCTTACCTAAGCAGACATAGTTATTGGTAGTTCAACATGTAGGTTAAAGAACTGAATGAGCAAGTTATTCAGCACAGAAATCACCTGTGATGAAGAGTGCCTAATTTATGGAAATCAGTTTATGGCTTTGGGTAGTGGGTCACCAAGAAGCTGGTTTAGTTTTCCTGCACTTACAGCAGAGAGTCTTTTGTGCATCCAACAACATTCTGAGAGTGTGGTGGAGATGGGGTTAGCATTTACTTTATTAAACCTAAACACCCACTCAAAGCTTGGATTTGGAGGAGGGATTTTAACCTGTTGCAGAAGATACATTCAGGAATTTGTCCATGTGTTTTTTAAATCCACTTTATATGAGAGCAATTTATTTTTATTTCTGAACCCTTCCTCCCCTAACAACAGTTGCTACCTGAGTCAAAGTTAAGTACTTTTAAGCCCTGTTGGTTTTAATGGGACAGTGTTAAGCATACACTTGGCTCCCATAGTAGCTCGCAAAAAGCATACGAGTGAGGAGGCCTGGGCTCAAATCCCTGGTCAGTCTTGAAGCTCACTGGGTGACCTGGTCATTCTCTTTTGGCTTATACCACCTCACAAGGTTTTTGTAAAAATGTAATGCCGCCTTGAGCTCCTTGGAAGAAAGGCAGGATAAATATGTGATGGGTGGGAAAAGGCTGCAGCCTCTGGTTGTAAGGAGAGGGAGGTCCTTTGCATGCCCCTTACAGTGTGTACTGCGTGGTCAGTCTGTTCTGTACTGACACAATACTGATCCAGAGGCATAGAGTATGTTCTCTTTCCCCACTCAGCAGCTGCAGCCTCCTCCATCACGTCACACTACCTTGTGAACCACCCAGGCTTATCACTCCCATCAAAACCATTGGGACTTCCAAGTGGTTAACTTTGATTGCGGCAAACATATCATGAAAGTAATGTAACGCCTGTTGATGAAAATTAAGAATTTTGTCAAAGGTGTTCCAGTGTATTTGTGTATTGTGAGGCTAGGGAACATTGTTGGTTATGATGAGACACACGTAGCATTTTCTGTGATGAAAGGAAATGGGGTGCCTTCTTTAAGGGGTGGTGTGATGAAATCCCACTACACATTACCTTATCTGTGTGGTTCTTCAAAAGGTACTGACAAGCTTTTGATATTCATATAAACGACATCAAATCATAAACCACCCCATCCAGTTGCGTGGTTTAGCCAACAGAGGGCAGCAACACATCCTCTCCTCCCATACATTAAATCCAGGGAATTTTATGCAAATACAGAGCTGTCAAAAGTTAGCATAGGTGTCTCTTACTGCATATGATCATGACTCTGTTGACTTGAAACCACATGTAAAGTAATGTAACATAGGCTTTCCATGTGCCAGCTCCAAACTTTCTATGTGCATATTATTTTGAACAGTGTGCATATAAGCAATGTTATCTTATGATTTCTTCTCCTTTTTCTTTCTTGCCCCCACCTTTCCCCTAAGTACCCAGTGCCCCAAGGTATTTCAAAATCCGCCAGCCAAATGTGGATACCATCACATTGGAATGGGAGCACCCTGAACATCCTAATGGCATACTTATTGGATACACCCTTAGATACCAAGCCTGTATGTCCCATACTCATTTTATGGAAATTTTGTTTGTTGTTTTGTTTGTCATTCTCATTTTTTAATGATCTGTAATCTGAATGTTATCTGAGAGTTGAATAACCTATCCTAGTGCAGTGGTATTTCTTACAAGTTACTAAAATATATGTTCCTGATTAAATATGATGCATTTGCTCACTATAAATTTCTATTTCAGTGTAAAATATGTGTACTTTAGGAAGAATTTTGCAAGAATGTGGACATGGGAAACTGGGAAAAAATAATTTTGGAACACTGCACTTGGGTATAGTGGAAAAGATAAATTTGCCTGCGTTCCATGCTTGTTAAAACTTCCTGTCTTCAAGTTTTTTAAAAAAATTATAACCTGCCTTACGGACCCAATGCAGTACTATCTATAACTGTCACCAGACAGACAGAAAATGTAGTTTTTGCCCAAAGAATTTGAGTTAGGCGCCCCACTGCCTATGTACCTTACTTGAAAGCATCTCTAGGACTAATATGGTGCATAGCCTTTAGGACACAGGGGGGTTAAATTTTGGCAGGTGTGTGTTTAGTTCTACTAGCTGATTTTTTAAATGATTCCTTAGAACTAACATGAATCATTCTAATGAAGCCCATGCTGTGCAAGGATGAGAGGTGGTGAAATGTCTAGCTAAGTTTTTTTTCCAAAACAAGACTTAAGCCTACACAGCCTGCCTTTCTCCCCAGTTAACGGATCCAAAGCTGGCAGAACAATTGTAGAGAACCTCTCTCCTAATCAGACAAAGTTTTTACTCCAGCGGACGGATCCTATATCACGCTATAGATTTGACCTGCGTGGCAGGACACAGATTGGGGACGGGGAGCCTGCCAAAGGGGAGTCACCATCTCCAGTGAATGAAGGTAAGTGGAAACATGATGCCAGCGCAGTTTGGACGTGAGAGAGGCATGTGTGCTCTGTAGAGCTGGATGTATGTGTGTTGAAACTCCTGTGGTGTCCAAACATATCTGGATTTTTTAAAATGGTGTCATTATTTAGGTTGGTTTTTTTTTTTATTGCCGGCAGCTTCAGACCTGAAACTTGAAGCACACTTCTGATTTCGCCCTCAATGTTCTGCAGTAGTATGCTTTTCTTTACCCAACCATTAATTCAAGTATTGTCTCATTGTAAATACTGGAAAAACAAAACAAACAAAGGCAATTAGCTTATTCATTGAATTTCTAAATTATTAAAAGGGGGGGCTAACACTTTGCAGAATTTCAAAATAATAAAAACAGCCTGAGGCACCCGTGCTTTTATGATACTACATTCGGTATTCGTATGTAATAATGATGGATGTGGCTATAATGTTTGAAAATAAGGGATATTTTTGCAAAAAATGGTTTAGAAATATCAGCAATAGATATTCTGTGTGGTCTTTGTAAATAGGACAGTTGTGTTATTTGGGACTGGGATATTTCTGCCTTTACTCTTTACTGCACTGTTGCTGACAGAGATTGGTAACCTTTTCACATAATGTTACCCAGTATTTGGATCTTGTTTAAAGTTTCTGAACAATTTCAAGAAAAAGAAGAAGGGTTTTGGTAAGAGCAGCAAAATTTCTGCTGAACAACTTATTTACTTATTATTAAATTCAATTTTTATACCGCCCATTCCCTGAAACAGGGCTCAGGGTGGAGTACAAAGACCTACTAAAACAGTATATCATATAGTTAGAAACATTTAAAATTACAATTAAATTCTAATATTTATTCAAAATTAAACAGATGGCGGTGGAAATTTCCAGTTGTGCTACCACTTTGCAGGGGGTGAGAGTGCCAACCAAATGGGCACGCTGTCCTCAACCAAAAGCCTGGTGGAACATCTCTGCCTTACAGGCCCTGCGGAACTGCATCAAGTTTCACAGGACCTGGATGTTACTCAGCAGAAAGTTCCACCAGGTTGGGGCCAGGGCACTAAAAGCCTCAGCCCTGGTCGAGGACAGACGGATATCTCTCAGGTCGAGGACCGCAAGCAAGTTCTTATCAGCTGAGCATAATGCTCTTTGAGCGTATGCCTGTAGAGGTGGTCCCGAAGATACATGGGTCCCCGACCATTTAGGGCCTTGAAGTTAAGCACTCAAACCTTGAACCTGATCCAGTACTCAGTTGCTAACCAGTGCAGCTCGTACAGCACAGGTCAAATGTGTGCCATTCGCGGGGTCCCTGTAAGGACTCACACCACTGCATTCTGGACCAGCTAAAATTTCTGGCTGCCCATTTCGTGACTTTATAACCTAGTGGCTTTTGAACCTGTGGCACTAACATTAGTGGCTTTAGAACCTTTGGCACTAACAATAAGAAAGAGTGGTAAAGGAATTTCTATTTAAACTAGAAGCAAAAATAATATGTATACTTAAAATATTGGATGAACCATTTCTGATCCCAAAAATACTTAGAACATAAGTATCCTTATATGAAACACGTATTTAAGGCAATTGGCTTCCCCTTTCTGGAGCATCTCCACAATGCCTATATGTTATCAAGCAAATTTATGGCTATTTTTATTGGTTCATGGAGAGGTATAAAGCAGCTGCTTCCTGTAGCCCCCTGTGCCCCCACTAGAGTGCAAGAGACAAGTTGGGGAAGTCTAATGGGCACTTTCCTGTCCCCTCTGCAATCAACAAACGACCAGAGGGGCGGGGTGGGGTGGGGTGGGGGGAGCCACAACTTGTAGATTCCTAAAAGGATAAAAATACTCTTTGTGAAAGATCCATCAAACTAAGTGAAAGTTCAGTAGCCCTCAGGGAAGGAGGATGGAAACAAAGCCGGCTCTGTACATTCTGTAATTTTTTTTAAAAAAAATCCTGAATTCAGTTCAGTCTCTTCCTTTGGTAAATAGGCTGTTAATTGTGTATCTTCTGAATTGTAATATGTGGGAAAACATTTCCTTGAATATACGTTTAAAAAATTGAGTTGCTGTTTCTACATTTTTAAGCAGGCAAGCTCTGGGCATGTTACTTAGTAGTTGGCAACAGCATAAACATGTATCTCTTCCCATGCTGTACAAAGGAATGAATTCACATTCAGGTTGGCAGTGGCTGAGGATTGTCTGGCAACAGAAACTTCTACATCACCTTGATGTAGCTTGGTTTCTGAAGCTACATAGTGCTCCAAATTTTGGTTTTGCTTAGAACATGACAGAAAACAGATGGACAGTTGTAATTATTAGTTCTGGATGCTGTTTGTAAAAAATAATAATAACCTTTTTTGGTGTTGTTGACTGTGGTTTTGTAATAATTTCTAATAATCTGGACTGGACCTTGACAAGAAGCTCTCTAAAAGGCCTATATGGAGTAGAAAATAATTCTCAACTAGTGAAAACTTCAGTAGTTCTGTTGCTGATTACTCTTTTCCCCCCCTTTCCCAAAGCCTGGCTCACACAATGCAACAATTAACCAAAACTCTCTGTGATCGTGCTTCGTCACTGGTGCTTCCGGATGCCATCCTCAGACCTGCCAGTGAGTGGATTACAGGGACAACTGATGGTGTATCTTTACAATGTGCTGCCACTAAGCCAGCATCAGGCCAGTGTAATCATGATGCCAGCATACAAATGGGCAGCGTCAGTGGTGGAGTAAGGCTTAGTTGGCATCCTGAGCCTCCCCAACCTGCATCCCACCCCAACACAATGTTACATCAGCAAGAACCTTGGTGTGCCATTTAAAGGTCCCGTTCCAACACACTGAGAATGAAACTGTTTCCCTTCACTCCGTTACTAAGTTCTGGAACAGCTTAAGATACTTATTAAGTCTGCAGCCAATCACAGCCAGTGCAAAACACTATATAAACCCCAACCAGGACAGCCATCAGTCAGAACGTATGACACACAATACAGGTCCATATCTATCTGGCCTCATGACAAGCACATATAGCACACACACTCTGGGCTTTGATGATGGTAACCAAATAGAAAAAGCACTTTGCTAATCCTGCTGTTGAACTGCGGTGGCTCAAGTGGTTAAGACGCTGAACTGCAGGCTGTGGAAGGTCAGTAGTTCAGCAGTTCGAGACCCGAGTGTGCCGCATGATGGAGTGAGCTCCCATCTCTAGTTCCTGCTCCTGCCAACCTAGCAGTTAGAAAGCAAGAAATTGCAAGTAGATAAATAGGTGCCACTTCGGTGGGAAGGTGACAGCGTTCCGTGCTCCTTGGTGTTTAGTCATGCCGGCCACATGACCACGGAAACATCTTCGGACAGCGCTGGCTCTTCGGCTTTGAAACGGAGATGAGCACCGCAACCCTAGAGTCGGATTTGACTGGCTTTCGAGCAAGGGAACCTTTACCTTTTTAATCCTGCTGTGCTCAGATCACTTACGGATACTCCACCTTGGGAACAGACACCGAACTGGACCCTCCGCTTCTCCAACTAGGAATTCAAGGACAACACACCCCACACAGGTAAGCAAGGGAAGGGGAATCCCTGCCTCAAACTGTGACTTGCAAATATTCCTCCCTGCCCCAATACATACTTACTCTCTGTATTGCCTCAGTAAGCCTAAGTTGCTAAAAATATGTATATACAGTACAGAAAGGAGGGGGGAGGCTTACAGAGACGCTGGAAGTTCATCACAATGCTTTCAGCTAAAGCGGGGACAAAAAGAACCTAACTACAGTCCTGGATGACTACCAACCTTTCTATTCTACCTTTTGCTACTGCAGGCCAAACAGTTACTAAGCCTGTTTCCTTGCAGAATCAGAGTTCTTTGCAGCAGCAGAAAGCGAACACACAGTTCCAATGCAAAACCTTACAGGGGATGGTAAGTGTTGGCTCTGTGTTGCCCAGCAGGTATATCCAACTATGTGGGAACCTCCAGAGGGGAGAAGGGGAGCTGCAATGGCACCACATGCAGGATTATGGGATCAACTTGTTCTTTGCTGCTACTATGGAACACTACTCATAACTGTCCTTGTGTCTCTCTAACAGGAGGATGTACTCCATTCACAGTGCAATGCCAACCATCTGCCAAGCCTATAGCACAACCAATGGCTGCAGTGACCAGTGTGCTTCCAGCTGCATTGCTATGGGGTTGCCAGCTCCTTGGTGCCAGTTTGGTGTAGTGGTTAGGAGTGCGGACTCTAATCTGGGAGAACCAGGTTTGATTCCCCACTCCTCCACATGCAGCTGCTGGTGTGACCTTGGGTCAGTCACAAGTCGGTTCAGAGCTGTACTCTCACAAGCAGTTCTCGAAAGAGTTCTCTCAGTACCATCTACCTCACAGGGTGTCTGTTGTGGGGAAGGGAAAGGAGATTGTAAGCCGCTCTGAGACTATTTTGGGTCGTGAAGGGCGGGGTATAAATCCAATCCCTTCTTCTTGTTCTAACCTAGCTCCTCCACCATTGCAAGCTGCTTAACAAACAGTTATTTTACTGGAACAGTTGTCCCTTTCATAGGCATGCAGCGATAAGGACAGCTCTACCTGTAATCTGTCAGTGCAGCTTGGAAAGTCACAGCACCCTTGCTGTAACAAGAAAATTTGCCAACCCCGTTCACCTGCCTTGTTTCCAATATGCCTGATGCTGTTCAATAAATGTGTGGATTGCTTTACAGCTGTGTGTCTGATTTGGGGTTTGGTAGACAGGGATCCCCCACCCTTTGTTCTTTACTAGCCTCAGCTATCTTCAACAGGCAGCTCTCACTAGGAGGGGTCTCAGGGAGTTGTCCAGTGTTTGTACAGGGGGAGGCAGGGGTCCTCATATTCCGTACTCATCCAGGTTATCACCGACTTTGATAAGCAGCCTCTGTGATAGGTGCAGGGACGGATAGAGCACAAAGTTTGCTAAGATGAAAGAAAATGTGTTACTTTCTGAGTGCAACAGGAGGAATGATACATGAGAGAGATACATGAAAATTATTGGCATGTGG